AGCTGGTGGGTTTGAACCACTGATCTTTCAGTTAGCAGCAGAACACTTAAAGCTGTCAAGCAACAGAGGCCCAGAACATTGGCAGCTGAGCAATCAGTGCAGGTCAGCATCCTGGTCAGAGGCAGTGGTTACTAGCATGGACTACTGTATCCTGGAGATCTGGGCTTGAGTTCTGTCTCCCATTAGCTCTGTGTCCTTGTGCAAGTTACTTGATAACTTCTGAATCTCCATCTGTAAAATGGGGATAAATAATAGTACTTACCTCATAGGCCAAGTAGGAATCAATTCAATGGCAACGAGTTTGGGTCTTAGGTATACCCAGAAGGAGTCTGTGGGTGGTGCAGTTAGGGACTTGACTACGAACTGAAAGGCTGATGGTTTGAACCCACCCAGAGGTGCCTCGGAAGAAGGACAGTGATCTGCTTCCAAAAAGTCAGGGCTTTGAAAGCCCTGTGGAATGCAGTTCTGTTCTGCAACACATGGGGTGGCCATGAAGTGAAATCAACAGCAGTGAAGTCTGGTTTTATGTACCAGACACTGTGCTAAGCACTGTGCCAGCTTATCATTAATCCTTATGACAAACCTGTGAGATACATACTGCGATCACCATTTTATGGACAGAAAAAGAGGAGTTGAAAGGATCTAAACAACTTAACCCAAAGTAACTGGGCAAAGAGTTAAATTAACACCTATCATTTTGCTTCCTGCATGAGAATTTGACCTTCAGTTGACTTCCTTATCAGATAACCAGGGTAACGGAGCTAGAAATCAGCTGAAGGTCAAATTTGCAAAAGATGTTTCTAGGTTACATTGCTTATGATTAAAATGACTCTTGATTGATAAATTCCATCTGGCACTGAGAGAGCTATACATTAACTATAAATACCTGAAAGAGACCCCATACTTTGGGCTTCTCTGAGTGTGTTGACTCTTGTGAATGGCATGTCTCCTGTGGGGATCTTGGTAGCCGCACTTCTGGAGTTGCAATGAGAAATGTGCTCTTGTGGGACAA